GACGGATTGTGGTGACCTAGGCTGGAAGATTTTCGGTGGTTCTAGAGGAGGAAGGTGCAGACACAGATGACAAGGTGGAAGGCTGGATAGAGGTAGTGGAATCATTTGTATTTTTAGACATGATAGAAGGAAGATATGGTTCGGCTCTGCAGGAGGTGGAAGAATTCCCAATGGCTGCTCAGGAATAAGCTTCGTAGGTGGAGGCCATAGGTTACGCAGGAAGCAGCTGCACAGGAAACGACTGTGCAGAAAGAAGGCTGCGCAGGTAGACGTTTCAGCGGCTGCATGAATTTTTTTTTGCAGTCTTCACTATTCCGTGATTCGAGAATTTTTGGGCAGCAGTGGCGAAACAACAAGCTTCAGCTAGCAGTGACGAAACGGAAAGCTTCGACAGGCTAGGGTTTTCTGAAATTTTTTTTATTCCTACTTTAATACCATGAAATCAGTGGAAAAAATATAAGAGAACTTAATTTTATTGATGTAAAGAGGGGTATAAATACTCATTACAGAACTCATTGATAAGGAAAGCAATAAAAACATAATACAATAGACAATGGAAATAATAATAACAAATATAAGAGGCAAATAATCATAAGAGTAACTAATTAAGGAGAAAAATAAATAGAGAATCCTAAGATCCCTTATACAATTTATAACCCTCTAAATTTAAAGTTATAACAAATATGAAATATAATCATAATTATTTTCGAGATCTTTCAACATTTTTTTTATTCCTTTAATTTCACACCCTTGCCAACACATTCTATACTTGTTATAAAATCAAGTATATTTCCTACTCTTATCATAAATTGGCAATAACTCTATAATGTATATAATATAATCATTCTATACCCTATCATCAATCATCATTCATAATTACAATCATTAACAATTCCTTTGCTGCTAAAATTTTGCAAATCCTTTTGCCAATTCTAAAAAATTGTCTCCAATTCTTCAATATAATCTCTTATAACATGCCACTGACACACATTCATTTTTAAACATCATATCCTCATCTATAGTCTCAATAAAATAATAGAAATAATCTATTTAAATTATAATGCAAAAATATCATTTAAACTTCCCGTGTTGCTGATTAAAACTATGAAGTTCTATTAATTTTAATTCCTTATCTTTTAAAATTTAATGAAATCTGCTATTAAATTTTTTTTACATACAAAAACACACGAACTTTTTCATGGCCAGTACATGTGATGCATGGATGATATAAATAGTGTAAATTCGTCATATGATCAAAAGCTCCCGAATCACTAATCAAAGGGTTTAGGTTTCTACTTGTATGTACCATCGAGCAATTTGAAGTACCAGTAGCCAAACTCGAGTTTAGCAGATTCAGGAGTTGATCGATTTGTTCTTTGCTAAATGGGTTGGTTTGTTCTGCAGCAGTATTTGCAGTAAATGGCTTACGCTTGTTTCTTTGTTTCCAATATGCAGGTTTACCGTAGAGTAACCAACAGGTTTCTTTAGCGTGTTGTAACCTGTTGCAATGATCACACCACACCCGTAGTTTCTCCTCATTCTTCTGTGCATATGAAACAGTCTGCATGCTGATATGAACCTCAGAATTGAATGTTGAGTTCTCAGGTATGCTGGTAGAAGTGGATTTCTTGTTCAGCATCACTCCTCTTCAAGTTTCTTCGCGGCGGACTTCTGAGAAAGCCTCATGGATTGAATGCATGAGATTTCTCCCAATTATTCTGCCCCTTACCTCGTTAAACTCCCCCATCAAGTCCAGCAAGAAATTTAAAAATTTTATTTGCATCAACAATGATCTTATATCTACTAGCATTATCTGGACACTTTCACTCTTGATCATTAAACAGGTCAAGGTCTTGTCATATTCTTTTCAAATAATTGAATTATTTTATGACAGAATCATTACCTTGACGAATATCACCAAGTTTCAGGAAAAGTTCATAAACCTGAGATTGGTTACCCATAGCTGAATACATTTGGGTCACATTCTCCCAAAGTTCTTTTGCACTAGAGTAACACATATAATTTGCCCCTATCTCTTCTTCCATAGAGTTTATCAACCATGTTATTATCATAGAATTTTCTGCATCCCAGGTTGCGTCGGATGGATCTGTAGTGACTGGCTCACGAACTTCCCCTGTTATGTAGCCTATCTTCCCTCTTCCTCTAATGTACATCCTCACCGATTGTGACCAGCGTAAAAAATTATCACCATTGAGACGGATTGTGGTGACCTAGGCTGGAAGATTTTCGGTGGTTCTAGAGGAGGAAGGTGCAGACACAGATGACAAGGTGGAAGGCTGGATAGAGGTAGTGGAATCATTTGTATTTTTAGACATGATAGAAGGAAGATATGGTTCGGCTCTGCAGGAGGTGGAAGAATTCCCAATGGCTGCTCAGGAATAAGCTTCGTAGGTGGAGGCCATAGGTTACGCAGGAAGCAGCTGCACAGGAAACGACTGTGCAGAAAGAAGGCTGCGCAGGTAGACGTTTCAGCGGCTGCATGAATTTTTTTTTGCAGTCTTCACTATTCCGTGATTCGAGAATTTTTGGGCAGCAGTGGCGAAACAACAAGCTTCAGCTAGCAGTGACGAAACGGAAAGCTTCGACAGGCTAGGGTTTTCTGAAATTTTTTTTATTCCTACTTTAATACCATGAAATCAGTGGAAAAAATATAAGAGAACTTAATTTTATTGATGTAAAGAGGGGTATAAATACTCATTACAGAACTCATTGATAAGGAAAGCAATAAAAACATAATACAATAGACAATGGAAATAATAATAACAAATATAAGAGGCAAATAATCATAAGAGTAACTAATTAAGGAGAAAAATAAATAGAGAATCCTAAGATCCCTTATACAATTTATAACCCTCTAAATTTAAAGTTATAACAAATATGAAATATAATCATAATTATTTTCGAGATCTTTCAACATTTTTTTTATTCCTTTAATTTCACACCCTTGCCAACACATTCTATACTTGTTATAAAATCAAGTATATTTCCTACTCTTATCATAAATTGGCAATAACTCTATAATGTATATAATATAATCATTCTATACCCTATCATCAATCATCATTCATAATTACAATCATTAACAATTCCTTTGCTGCTAAAATTTTGCAAATCCTTTTGCCAATTCTAAAAAATTGTCTCCAATTCTTCAATATAATCTCTTATAACATGCCACTGACACACATTCATTTTTAAACATCATATCCTCATCTATAGTCTCAATAAAATAATAGAAATAATCTATTTAAATTATAATGCAAAAATATCATTTAAACTTCCCGTGTTGCTGATTAAAACTATGAAGTTCTATTAATTTTAATTCCTTATCTTTTAAAATTTAATGAAATCTGCTATTAAATTTTTTTTACATACAAAAACACACCGACATTTCTTATAACAAGTATTTGTTGAAATGAGCTTCTTTACTGATAAAAAAGAGATAAAGACCAATATTGATCTTTGATTTAACTGTACCAATTAAAAAAAAAGTATGCAACCAGTACCAATACAATCACTGTATCAAACATATTTTTTTTGCTAACTCCAACATACCTTACCACACCTTTAATAGACGACAGCCCCACGAAATGAATTCTCAAAACACTTGATAATACATCTTTTCAAATTCAGCGAAACACATAAAATATCTTTCCACTGTTCTCTAAGTTATTTTATTAGCTCAAAATTTGTCCCTTACAATTGCACTCTCGAGCATAAATTTAAATTGATAGTGTGACACCATACAATTTTTCTCGTGCCCTCCCAACTGCTAAAAGATAAATCAATCGTAAGATTGATAAATTTAATTTCCATATAACTAATGTTATTATTAGCATCCCTCTTTGGTAATAAAATTTAATTCCCATATAACACTCCAGAACTAAATTGTATTTCATCAGAACTTTAGCCTTATCCTGCATATAACGGTAAAATGAAAATGAAAAATCAATCAATAGCATGAATATGTTGAGGCAAAGAATAGAATAGTGGAATTCATAAAAAAATTTGCTAACAAAATTTGAAAAATATAATTGCGCAATCATGATAATTCCTAACATATAGAAAACTTGTTCCTAACATTAAATTGGCAACCCTAATAGCAGAAATAGTCAAAAAAGCAATACCTAGCCAATATCACACCAGTTATAATACATGAAAGAGAGGGCAAAGGCATAAATGCAACACGCTTGAGAAGGAAACAAGAAATGATACTCCGCCAAATGAAATGAAATTATAAATACAACCCCACAATCATGTATAAGATGTTGCAAAGCAATCAAAATAAAAGCAGACGCTTTGAATTTCCAGAAAGAAACCTGCATGATCTACCGAATATTTAAGTATTTTAATTGTTGTCCTGAAAAAAGTGGTTTAATTTAGAAACTTAACGGGTCGCTTAGTCTGTAGTATGCCACATAAATTTTTGGAGTTTTAAATTGCTTTGATACATCTAGTTTCATCCCATTATTGGTTAAAGCTAGTGTTTGTTAGATCTGATTATCCTTCGGATTTAATTGTCTATTAAAAGTCTTAAATTCTAAGATAAAGCCAAAAATTGTATCAGGGCATTGCAAGATTTGATGCTTATCATGCTAGAAATTTAAAATTTTAATCATCACACTATTTATTACATATGGATATACAGAATATACTAAGCCCTACTTGTAGCTATGCAATCGCTAATCTAAAGTAAAATGTTTCCATCAGACTAAAATAAGTTGACGAACTAAATTAAACGCATTTTAGTTTATCAGTTATAAGATTTATAAATCCGAAGCAAAATAAACGTCGTCACAGTTAATTTACTTCACCTGCAGCACAAACAAAAAACAGTTAAAAAAAAGAAAATAAAAAAAGAGAGGAATGTAAGAGGGCGGATGGCTCGCTCGATAATTCTGCTAAATCCTGTCAGCATAAAAAAAAAAAAAATACAAACATAAAAATAAAAGGAAAAATAGCAAAGGCATAGCTCAAAAAACCCATGGCTTTGATCATTGTCGCCGCCGACATGGCGAGCCCATTCTCATTCTAAAACCAGCCAGCTTCGTGTGCCACACATAAAACCAGACCAATATAATAGCAGACCAAATAAAATTCATCACTAGGATCACAGATTGCTCTCCTCAGTTTCCCACTTCTTCCAAGTCCTTTTCCATATATCGAAACCGAAACAGTCTAATAACCCACAACTGAGATGAGATCGTTGTGATCACGCGGAGGCGCCAATAAAAAACTAGCGTCTCGCCGAAAGAAGAGGTAAGGCTTATCGTTAGGTTAGAAAAGAAGAAATCGCAGTGGAAATTCATAAAATAGTCGTAAAGCATAATTAGCACTGCTAAAGCATCGCACCAGATAATTGGCTAGGCCAGTTTTAGAAAGCCTTGTGAAGACGAAGGCGGGGGTAAAGGGTAACACGTTCGATTTTCCGGGCCTGGATCTTGAGACTTGAATGCAGTAGTTGTTTGTTTTTTGGGTTGGGAAAGATGGGTTAGGGCTTCCGCCGGGGAAAACCCTAGACGGTAAGCAAGGGCTCCAGAAGGGGAAACTCGTAGATCTCGGCTCGGCCCTCCTCACTTGGGGCTCTTTTAAGTTGGGCTTGAAATATTGTTGAGCCCACCACGCCTGCGCGATTATTAATTAACCTCTTTTTGTTCCTGCCCGGACACTCCTATCTGTAAAAGCGAGATCGAGAGCGATTGGCCCGATTGGTTAAGTGGGTCGCTAGCATAATGTGGACCAGGCCTTTTCTCCTTCCATGTGCCTTCATACATCTTAAACCCACTTATATAGCCCTAACGCGTTCCATTTTCATTATTATTATTATTATTATTTTCGATAACCCTTTATTTGCTGTGATTGCACGGTATAATTAATAAATGTTGATTTTTAAAAACACGAAGGAAATAAAAAAAAAATTGACAAAAGTAAATAATATATAAACATAACATTCTAATGGATGTGCCACCAACAATTTCTTATCATAAGACATAAATCGTGGCATTTTTATCAAGAAATATTCCAAATTCAAATTAAGCATCATCTGGGCTATGATTTTAACAAGTTATAGCTAAACTGAACATCTTGAAAAGATGAACAAATGTCTGCTAAAAGTGATCCAATCTAAGTTTAGATCATCCTCGATCAAACACATAAAATACAATCAAAGACTTTGTGTATCAATTGAAATATCAAATGAACTTGAAATTTGTTCTAATATTGATGTTGAGCATTTCAACAAGAGGAATCCAACATGAACAAAATCATATTGTATTTATGGCTTGTTTTAAATTATGTGTAATTTTGTCTTTTGGTTTTATTTACTTGTATCTTAGCCATTCTCTATAAAAGGGATTTAGGATTTTATGAAAGAGTTGTTATGAGAAATGCAGAAGTTGTAACCACTAGCAATTTTCATTATTCCCATCAAGTGCTAGTGAAATCTCTCACCCCGTAAGTGTAGGTGAATCAATTTAACATCGAACTACATAAATCTTTTGTGTTTGAATTTTCATGTAACAATTGGTATAAGAGATTCAAGTTCGTGATCGGAGCGCGCTTTAGCCTCAAGGGTAGCAAATCTGACATGTGTTGTTAGAGTTTTTTTGTTGCGGGTAGTTCAATGTGATTTACGACAAATTCAGAGGTTTTGGTGGCTCCGACGAGATTTGGCGTAGTCGGGTAGAAGTTTAGTGTGAAACAAGCACCAGGAGAGGCTTCACATGGAATATGACATCGGTTATGACAAGTTTTCGAGTGGAGATAGGGGTATGCCAGCAGCGAGGTCTGGCAGATCTGGCGAGGTCCGACGTGGAACATGAACCATCATGTGGAAGCTTTGCAGTCCAGTGCTGAAAGAAGTTTTTTATTTATATTTTCTTAAGAAACAAAATTTTCTTTTAAGGAAATAATTTTTTTAAAAGGGGAAAGCAACATCTTTTAAGGAAATTACAGAAATGTCTTAAACATGATATCATTTTGATAAATGAAAAAAAGATTTTTGAGAAGTAAATGGAAAGAACATTTCAGGAAAGTTGAACTTCTAAACACTTCTTCCCAAGTCCCCAAAGTCACCAACACTCCAAAAGACACCTGACCCTTCACACACACACACGTCTTTGAAGAGGCACGTCAAAACTAGACGCCAAAACATTTCCCGACTTCAGATATTATAATGTGAGGTGATCGATGCATTATTTTCTCTGAATCTGGAAAAAGTTCTAAACATAGAGGAATGTTTTGAAGAGATGTTTGACAGAGATTGATTGAACATGAATCAAAGCTTGTGACTTGATACAAAATTACTTGACTTAGAAGATCAAATATGAAGTGATGATGAAGAATTCTGCAGAAAAATTATAGATGATGCTGTAGAACAAATATCTCACGGAGAGCGTGGAGAATCATTTTCATATGAAGCATCAGCTCTACAAATTTCAGATGACACGGGAGTTACTATTAATGAGAATTTGAATGACTTCACAAAGCTTATAACATATATATTAAATTTGGATGAGGATTTTGAAGATAAAGACATTGCACTTCTTCTATTGAATTCGCTTTCGGATGAGTACGAAAAATTCATGATGATACTCATTCATGGGAAAAAGGTCTCGAATTACGACGAATTAACTATGAAACCACAAGGAGTTAGCAAAACTATATAAAAAATTAATTTTATATTCAAATAATAATAAAATTATTCATTGTATTACATAATTATAAATTATTTAATTATAATTATAAATGTTAATTAACTTAAAATGATATGTAAATTAAATATATAAAATTAAAATATAATATAATTATAAAATTAATAAAATAAATATATCAAATTATATATATATATATA